ACACGAGTTCAATTTTAGAAGGTGTCCCACATTCCAAAATGGTAACATGTTTAGAAATTACAAGGCATCCTTTCCAAGATTTCCAGGGGATGGACATGCTTGCAGGCTGCTGTGCAGAGTGCAAAGTGGCCCCATTCTGTTACCAAGGACAATTAAGGAGTTGATAACCACTTCCCTGAGACTTATAATTCAGTGTAGGTGTGCCAAGTATACAAAAAAATGTACTACAAAGATTTGTTTTTAAATGTAAAGGGAAATTTTTATTTTCAAATTTAATTTAATTTAATTTTTGTCTTTTTGAGACAGGGTCTCATTATGCAGTTCAAGCTGACCTTGAGATCCCTCTGCAGCCCAGGCTGACCTCGAACTCACACCTATCTTCCTACCTCAGTCTCCTGAGTGCTGGGGTTACTGGCGTGTGCCACCACATCTGGCAAAGGGAAATTTTGAAAATGACATAAATTGGTAAAAACAGAAGGATAATGTTGGATGTGGTGGTGCACACCTGTGATGCAGCTCTTGGGAGGCTGAGGTAAGAGGGTCACTGTGAGTTCAAGGCCCAGCTGGGCTACAGAGTGTTTCAGACCAGTCTAAATTGCATAGTGAAAGCCTGTCCAAAAAAAAAAAAAAAAAAAAAGGATAAATTCATACTGGAAAGAATGTTTTTGAGGGTGATGGCCTGGGAAAAATTAATGTCAATGATTCATTAAAAGCACAGGATCTGGAGTTACTGACATATGAGTTTCAGTAATAGATTGAGGTTTGTGGCAGCTTAAACACTCTAAGTATATTCTGCAAGGATGAAGTAAAGAACAAACAAACTGACTAGCCACCTCATTACAAGTCAAACACAGTAAGAATAATATTTCTATCTGTCTTTTGGCTCAGTCTTATGGCCAGATGGATGGGTAAAGAAATATGGTTACCAGGTATAACAGGAGCACCTCCAACATGAGCAACACATAAATAAGCAAATGTGAAAAATAAAATTGGTGCAAGGTACAGAATAAACTTTAAAAACTCATAACATTAGAAATATAAGATAATGCATTGTTTTAAAAAACAAAAAAAATTTTTTTTGCACTACTCGGGATCTAATCCAAGGATTCCTTTTTGCTAGGTTTCTGCTCTACCACAAAACTATATCTCAGCCAAAGAATGGTGATATTTTCTGCAAAAGAAAAAACTCCATTCAAAAAATGAAAATCATAGCTTCAAATATAAAAATATAGAGTTCAGTACAGTGGCACATGTAGTCCCAACTACTTGGGAGGCTGAGGCATGAGGATTGCTTGAGCTCCTGTGTTTCAGGCCAGTTTGGTGTGCACAGAAAAAGCCTATCTCTTTTAACAATAAATTATAACTATTTTATATATGTGTGTGTATGTGTGTACTGAGAGATACAGCAGAGAAGGGCTGCAAGTGTAATTCAGTGGTAGAGTACTATATACATATATTTTTTCAAGGTAAATGTAAATATAAATACCAGGGTGTGGTCCATCTGCTAGATCTAGAGAATAGTGAGTTGGGCTCCTATATGCTGGGTTGGAATTTACCATAATTCATAAATTGACATTTAAGCCCCAGTATCTAAGAAAAAATTGCCCTTTCAAATAGAGCCTTTAAAGGATTGAGCAAGTTAAAAAGAGATCAGTAGCATGAGCCTTAATTCGATATGCTTGCCAGCCTTTTAAGAGGAGGAGGTGGAAGATACAGCTCAGTGATAGAATGTGGAAGATCTGGGGTTCCATTGCATGCACCACACCCCCCCCAAAGGAAGAGGAGACTAGTATTCAGACAAAGACAGAATAAAGAAAATGAAATGTGAAGAGATACAGGGAGATGCTAGCCATGTACAAGATTGGAAGAGAAGCCTCAGAGGAAACCAATCCTGTTGACACCTTTATCTTTTCTTATTACCCAGTACATCTTTCTGAGCTTCTTGTCACATGAGCACTTGTGCCTGAAGACCTCATTCTCCAGCCCTTTTGTCCTTCCCTGGGGTCTCTGCTTGTAGAAACCCCATGTGGCCTGCAGCATATGTGATATTCACAAGGTTGACTATCACCACTTTGCCAAGTCCTCAAATGTTTTCATCAGGCCCAGAGAAAGCTTGTGCCTGCACAGCCATCATCGCCTATTTCCTCATCTCCCCAAACCCTGGTGACCCCCAAGCTGTGTGGACAGCTTGCTTTTGATTTGTACATATTGCCTCAGGCCTCAAGGCACAATTTCTTCCTTTTCATGGACAGCGCCACTTAGTGAGGTTTCCTTGACCTTCCTGTAGCCCTTGGCCTCCTCTGTGACCCAGTCGTGCCCTTCCCCCAGGCATAGACACGCATACGCACCTGCACAGCTTTGGGGTCCTCCTCCAGGTCCTTCAGGAAGAAGTGTGACAGCCCCTCCAACAGGGTTTACAACTGGTCCTGGAGGATGAGCAGGGAGGAGCAGAGTAGCAGACCCTTCCTTCCCTTGCTACCCAACCTCCCCTGGACACTCCTAACCATCTCTCCTCTTGGGAGCTGCCTGCCATGGTGCTTGCAGGAAAATGCTGCCCAAGATTGGTATTTGTTAATATTTAGTCTTTGAATACAAGGTTCGTGGCTGCTCTTGTTGTAAAAGGTGTGTAGGCAACAGGACATCTGGTGTGAGAATCACACTGAGTTGCAAAGGACTAAACTGCAACAATAACCAAATGGAAGTGAATGAGAGGCTTCCTTCCTGCTCAGAAGTGATATTTCTAACCCATTCTCATTGCCCTTTCTGTAAAAACTGCACTTGCTGGACCCACAATGGTAGCAAAGGGGGTGAAAATTGCAGGTTAGGGTACTGTATCAATCAGGGGTCATTAGAGCAAAAGATTTATGATCTACTGTATAAGCATTTACAAGGTAGGCTTACAAGGGCCACCCACAGAGTCAGGTGTGGAAAAGAACAGCAGGGCTACCTGCCAGCTGGAGAGCAGGTGGATTCTGTTGAAATAGAAGGCTTGGAGCCACTGCAGAGTCCTGTTCAAGCCCTTATCAGGAGGCCTAAGAGTCTGCTGGAAGGCTGAAGACTGCATGCTGGGAGAGTCTGAAAAGTCTGTGGTCGAAAGCTGCAGGCAGAGGTCAAAAGGCAATGGCAAAGACTGCAGCTTCTCCCAAGAAGCAAAAGTGAGACTCCCTTTCATTTCCCTTTTTATTCCAGTCCCACTACAAGCCTGTTGGTGGTGCCTCCCAAAATCAGGGTTACTCTTCAGTCTTCAGTAAGTCAGTCATCCAGACACACCCAGAGCTGTCCTAAGCCGATCTGCCGGGCTTTTCTTTTTCAAGTGAATACCACAATTAACAGAAAGAAAGTGCCTGAAGACCTCCAACAGAACTGAGGGAAACACAGCAGGTGGCAGAGGGTGGGAGAGTGCAGGGGTTGGATAGGCCAGGCTGCCGGGCTGCATCTGGGTTCGAAAAGCAGAGACCCAGGTGCAGGTGGGAGATTCCACCAGTGCGGGTACCCTTCCTCAGTGTGCAGAATGTTCCCATTAACATCACTGTGACAGAATTTCCTTCCTGGCCCTTCTTTGGCCTCTTTGGCTCTCTGGCTCCTGATCCCAGCAGGGCCTGTCCAGGTGTGTGAGGATAGCAAATCCATTTCACTGGTCCTGAATGAACTTTCCAAAGCACAGGGAGGATTTGGCCTTCTTCATGCCACAACCTAGCCTCACCCCACTGGGAACTTCTTCTGAGGAAATGGCCTTTCTGGGCAAGAAGAACTGGTATCAGCAACTAATAGAAGAAGCGCTATGTCTTCCTTCTCCCACCTTATTGTGTTATTGTGAGGACCCCATCGCTAAGGGAAAAGATAGTAAGATAGTTCAGGGACAAAAGACCCCTGCGATGAAGGGCAGTGGTAGGGAAGTGTGGTAGATGCATGAATGACTGAGCTCAGAGGAGCATAGGGTGGCAAACCTGAAGAAGGTGAGTGGGTTGGCAGATGGAGTTATGGGTACCATCAAGGACAGGGTCAAGCTCACCAGCAAGGAGGGAGGAAGATTGAGGCATTTAGTTCTAGACTAAAAGTCGGTTGCATTTGGAATCTCGCTATGAATGTAGAAAAGGGGCTGTACGTGGTAAAAGGGCAAAGGGTGCAATGGGCTGTGTCAGGGTGAGCTGCATGATTCTGCAGGGTTTGCTCCAATTGACCCTTAAGTAAGAAGATGATACATGTGCAGCTGGGAGAAGATCCACAGCATTGCTTGTGTGTAACAAGAACTTGGTTGAGGGATGTTGGACTCACGGATTCTGCAGAAGGTCAGTCTGGGATTGGAGGACCAAGGCAGAGTCACCAGAACCCCATGGGTACCCTAGTGTTAGAGATCAAGTAGCTGAAAACAAGGATAATCTGACAAAATCAGCACAGACCCACGTGCCACTCACCCTTGGACTGAAGCTTCCAGGATGACATGGTAAGTTGAAGGCAGCTATGACTCTGGAGTACTGGAGCCTTTGGGGACAGAGCGGGGTCCAATCTGCATCCCAACAGTGACCAATCTAAGACAGTCACACGCTCAACATCCTCTCTCTGTGTGTACAGAGCAAAATGCCCTGCCCTGACTATCCAACTGGATCCAGTCAGTATGTAGCTCAAACACATCCAGGTCTCTTTGTGAAAACATCCTCTACTGCAGCTCCATCTGCCTTCCTCCTTCTATGCACCCACTGGGGACTAGAGAAGATGCAGCTCATTGCTGCCCAAATCTTTTCACAGGACTGAGTCTCTAGCCCTTGCCTATGACTACAGTCAGTGTTCAAGATAGTATTTGGAGAAGACTTTTCTCTTTTCTGCTGTTGTTCTGACTGCTCTTCAGGAACCTTGAACCCTGTCTCATCTAGACGGGTTAAACGAAATGAAGCCCAGATCCCCAAAGAGTAGTCAACTCAGAACATTTGTACAGATATCCTGACCACCAAGGCACCAGCCAAACCCAGCAGAAACTGTTGGCCCACAACTCCTGAGAAAATGTGTGTCTTTTATTGTGACGTGGTTGTTTTAAAGCAACATTATCATGCCACTGGAAAAATGAAGTGGGAGCAATCCACAAAGACAGAATGAAGAAGACCTGTCACTGCCTGAATGCCACCATCAAACATGCTGGACACAGACAGATTGGTACAGGCAATGAGATTTTATGGTGTATAATAGAAATGTCATAGTTTGTTTATGACTACAGCAGACACAATCAGGTTTCCATTAATACAAAACAAATAGATCACAGGCCCCTATCCTGAGCAGAAGGCAGGTGGTACATTAAATGAAACATAGGAATACCTGTTAGCTTCCAGAGTATATTCACAAAAAAATAGCCTGTCTTCTTGAAGCCCATGCCCTGGTAGAGGGCCAGGGCACTGTGCTGTAACATACTTGTCCCAAGTACAACTTCACCATAGCCCTGGTCCCGGGCAAACTGGAGGACAGTCCTGACCAAGGCTTTTGCTATCCCCTCTCCTCGGTGCTCCATGGACACTGAGAGGTGAAACAGCTGCAATTGCTTCTTCCCCGGTGGTGGATTCTTCACTGGCAGAGCACACACAGTGCCCACCACCTGCCCCCCAGACTCAGCAACCCAGAAACAAGAGTCACAGGCACTCAGGTAGGACTTGGTGATGTCAGCCAGGTCAGTGCGCAAACATGTGACCACATACTGCTGCCAGGTGTATCTGGCAAGGAACCACAAGAAGAGGAGCAGAGTGACGCTGGACATGACAGCCAAGAGCCAAGAGCCAGAGAACAGGAGCAGGGAGAGGGGCACCCCCAGCTCAAGCAGTAGGATTCCAGGCAGCATCAGCATGTGGCGGAAGGTGGCAGGGACATGCTCAGCCATCCCTCTGGAGAACAAGTCCAGCACTGGTTTTCGGTCACCCTCCTGGTATATGCGGATGTGATAAGTGGCCATGTTGCTGCTTCTCTGTCTAAAATTTCGCAGTCCTTGGGACACGGCCAAACCTGCCTGCATGACTTCCTTCTAGCCCTGTAGAAGAGAGTAGAATCCATGTGAGTACCCCAGCACTCCTGGTCACCCCAGCACCATGTATACCTTGCTCAGTGTGTGTCCTTCTGATGTCAGCCCAAAGGAATCAGCGGACTACTACTAGAAGGTGAGGGTCAGAAATGTGGTACTGGAACACTGACTCTTCCCATTTTTCCTACCATTTCTAGCTATGTGACCTTTGACATATCACTTAATCTTCCTGAGCCTGCATACGTTCATCTGTAGAACAGGGGAGAAAAAACATCCTGCTTGGTTGAATTGTTGGAGGCTTTAATAGAATAACTTATATGAAAGGCAAGTATTGAAGTTCGCCTCCACTACAACTGCATTACCCAATTTCTGGCTCTCTGAAGCTCTTGGTACACTGAGATGACCTGTGTAGCAGCCAGACCTTGTGTCCTTAGCCTTTGGGTCCCTTCCTGGGGTTTATCTATTACAGTAATCTTGCACTCTCGAGCAGGTGATTTAGCAAAACCTCTAGTGTCCTATTATAAAGGTATTGGATATTGAAAAGGGAAAAGGTTCAAGTACCAAAATGGCCCAATTTTGAGATTCCCCAAGACCCTTTGGATCACTGGGCCCAGACAGAGAGACCTGAGTTTCACCCATGTCCTCTTACCTGATACCACAGAGCCAAGAATGTGCACAGTAGCCTCAGCCTTCAGCTTCCAAGTGACTCTCACAAGAGGCTGTCTAGGGCTTGCCCTGCTTCTTGGCAGCAGATCTGGATGCCACTCATTGGTTGGCTCATGAATCCTTTTTAATCATCAACAGCAAGGTGCGGGAGCAGGCAAGTGCCAGCACAGGAAGCTTTCATCTTTGTGATTCACCTTTTGATCCCCAGGGAACTGTGTGGTAGAAGGACACAGGATACGGGATGGCTCAAGGGTCCTTACCCTCATGGGTCCTGCACCCTCATCTTTCTTCCTTCAGGCCTCAACCCCTCTCACGTGACACTCTAAGTCCTGTGCGCACTCTACCATGGTTCCCTACACATATATGGTAGGAGCCTTGAAACTGCCTCTTGCCTTGGGCTCTCCTATCTCGGTCCAGTGTTCAGCTTTCCTAGGTCAGTAACAAAGCCCTTCACAGCTGCACTTCTTCATGCAGTGTCAAATGGTGCAGATTCAGCCACCCAGAAACAGCAGCCACACAGTCTCTCCTCTGTTCAGGCCCTCAGCAACATTCCATGTGCGATGGTGGTAGCTCAGAGTCACTGCCATCACACTTCTTACACACTTTAACTGAGCATGTACCTCACTAAGACAGGCAAAGCAAAGCACAAGGGCTAGTCCTTCTCCATGGAAATGTTCTCTATGGAGGAAATGCTTCCCTTTCAACAGTGCTCAGTCCTACCTGTGTGCAATAGCTTCACAGAACAGTGAAGACAGCGGACTGGGGATTTAGCTCAGCAGCACAGCGCTTGCCTGGCAAGCGCGAGGTCATGAGTTTGATTCCCGGTACTGGGGGGGCGGGGGGCGGGGCGGGAATGAAGATATTGGCTTTTTCTCTTGAGGTTCCCTGAAGCAGTAGGAAGAAAAATCTCATCTATCTGTGCAATATTTCCCCCATTCTTACTGTGTGGAGAGGGACAATGGACACTTGTGATGTGGCAGAATTGCAGTGATCTGGGGTCTTCCAGTGAAGGACTCCTCAAGAGATTTCACTGCATGGATGCAGGTGGATGCCCTGGCAGCTGTGATAAGAGGCAGGAGAGGCAGATATGAGGAAGAAGGCCTTAGTGGCCAGTGAGATGCCCCCTTAGGCTGAGGAATAGGGACCTCAACACAGAGAAAACATAGTTTGGGGGAAAGGTGGTTAACCCAATTGCTCTTGAATGGAATAGGTGAGGGCACCTGGGTGTCTGCATGCAGGCTATGGTGTGTGGGATGTATTATAGGAGTAAGGCAAGCCACAGACATACCTTTAGCAGGAAGCTAAATAAACATGGTGTGAAGTATGTGTGTATGGCCATCACTCTATTTTCACATGGAGCATGAATCAGAGGAGTCTAGAGTAGAAAGATGTAACCCCAGAGGCACGTGATGATCCTGGAAAGAAACTTGTCCCCAGACACAGTTGTGAAGGTGGAAGAATATTTGGTCAGTTACACTCTGGGGTCAGAGTGCATACTGTGAACTAAGATATCAATTCCCATGGCAGAACCCTTGTTAGGAGTGGAGTCAGGCATAAGTAAAAAAAACTTTGTTATCTAATTTGTTGGAAGGTTTTGTTTGCCCACCACCTTTTACACTAATGGGCTCATGGAAGGTGGAGCTGTGGGCAGAAATGTCAGCAGTTAGAATGATTCAAATGAGCATGAACAGGAGGAAGAGGTCAGAAAGGACATCCAGGACTGTGTGGAGAACACTTGGGAGAATACTGGCCAGAGTCCAGGTGGGGAAAGATGGACGCATTCCTGTAGGTGCTACTTTCAACTTCTTCCTGCTAAAACAGAAACTGGGGCAAGAACTGGTACCTAGTGAGCCTGGTGGAAGCTTCTGTATTTTGATCCCAGCTCAAGGGTAGTGATTACTATTAATTATTGGTCATGACTGCATGGGTTACCAACTTGGTTGACATATGAACCACTGTGACACTGCCTATATGGGGGGGGTCCCCTCAGTCCACAGAGATTAGGCAGTAGGTGCTGTACACAGTAATTAAGTGGATCTGAGAAGAAGAGAAGGCCCCAGAGTGTAACTACTCTAAGCCTCCACTTCCCACAACTCTGAACTTATGGGGCAAATAAAAGAACAAGACCCTGTAGTGATGGACAATGGGGAAAGAACTAGATTAAAGAACACATTACAATATTAGGACCACTGAACTCAGTAAATTTCTCAATGATTTTGGAAGGTAATCTGTGTCACTACAGTTACCTTCCATAGGAAAGTATACTTTCCATGTTAATATAAGCAAAATTACACCTATCACATGGTTTGACTTATATGAAATATATATATACATACACACACACACACACACACACTTGAGGAAAAAATATAGTTGAATTTTCTTTCAACAGATGGTATTATACTCACATGGGGGACCCTAGAGGATATTATGTATTGCAGAAAATCCTTTACATTACCAATCCAATGCATATAATAATCAAAATTCCAGAAATTCATCATAAGAAGAGAATATTAAAAGCTGTTAGAGAATAGAAACAAATGAGCTATGAAGCAAAACTCCTTGGAGTCACAGAAGACTTCTCAACACAAACCCACAAGTCAAGGAGAGCATGGAGTGAAGTATTTCCAGCCAGAAGAGAAAACCACCTCCAAGCCAGATTGATTTACCCTGCAAAATTATCTCTCAGTAGTGATGGAAAAATAAG